ACATGACCGACTCCACTTACCAACATGGAACCAACCGAACAGCCAGGCAAGCTACAAAGTCAAGTCAATCACCTGCGCGCTTGGGTCAAAACTCATAAGATGCGCAGAGTTCCTACTTCAACATGTCCGGAAGCTGATCTAGAAATGATTGTAGGTCGCGTTCTAAGCTTCCTTTGGGGGCTTGTCCGCGCTTCACTTGCCCACCCTTGTCAGTTAGTTTTTCGACCAACAGTTTCAAAATGGGCTCAGCATTAGCCTGAAGAGCGAAGAAAACCTTCACAAAACCTTTCTGAAATGCCTCCTTCACTCTGCACACATGGATCACGTTTGCCATGATCTCGGGCGTAGGGTATTCTGTGCAGAACGTCTTTATGGATGCCTTATTGTCCTCCGACAGCCCCACAGCATCACTCACCAGATGTTCGAGCATCTCATCCATGCGTAACGGTGAGGAGGTCCTTGCGGAGTGTCCGTTGTACTCCTGGGTTGCCTCCATCGCTGCTTTGATAAACGCATCATCATGACTGATGAGAACCGTGGTGAGCACGGCTGCTCGGAGCTGTCTTACTTCCATCGCATTCTTGAGCGCCAGCTTTGACAAAATTTGCATGCCCTTCAAGAGAAACTTTTCGGACCCGGCCCCAAACCGTTATTGGTCAGCGACCATGAAGCCAGTGACATGAACACTCGCCACTTGAAAGCTCTGTCACTGCTCACGCCCTTGAGGATTCGGAAGCTGCACGTGCTCAATAGTACATTGGCGTTACATAAAGCCCGTTCTAAACAAGGGACACATGGTACGCTTTCGGCTGTTTCCCGGGTGGCGGTGGCTAATGTTTGTCCATGGTGCCAGCGTGTGTACCAATCAGTTGCGCCTGCAAAGGAGCACGTTCGTAGGACCACACACTCGCCCGTCATCCAGCAGGCAATCGCACGCAAATGGGAGTTCTTCACCTTCAACATGCTGCTAATTTGCCTTGACACCTGCAAGATCAGAGTCATCAGGTGGTTGCCACAGCGCCTGAATGCCCTTGTTGAGGTCAATATCCAAACATACATGACAACATCTCGAGTGGCGGGAGCCTTGCCGCTCCCTCACCCCATTGCAAGCCGAGCTCTAAACAGGCAAATCAAATTGTAATTGCTGCAAGTCTTTCTTCTTGCTCTGGACTAAACGTAACCATCAAAGTGACATTAGCAGTGTTGGCACAGCTGCTTGGTTTAGGGTTCATTTTTGATTCTATTCTTCGTGCTATTACTCTTACTTTTAACGCGTTGTTGTTGTGCTTTATCCAGTACTGGAACTGTTGGTCGTGCGATGAATCTTATTTAGAGTATTACTTATGTTTGCTTCAAAGTCCGCCTTTGGGATTGTTATTTTTTTTGCAAGAGCTGGAGCTTGCCAGACTTGCTTTGCAAGATTTGGAGCTTGCAATCCGGTGCAAATGCTTCAGTTTGCAGCATTTGCAGGCTATGATTTTAGCTCTATGAATAGCTCCAATTGTCGGATTTTGGAGGTCTGAAATCTCTTCCTAGTCCATAGCTGTCCTCAAGCCATAGGACTTCTCCAAACTCTTGGAGGTACACCCTGGTGAAGACTTGGATTGACGAGGTGGAAAACTACTTTCTCGTCCTATTGGCCTTTGCGTGGGGCAGCCTGTTGACGCTTGGCACTTTCAACCTTCAGTCAGCCCGCATGTGCTAACGTATTTGTTGGAGCAATCTGCAGTGCAGACGAGCTGCTAACTCCATCTACGTATTTTTTGATTGCGCAGAAAAGGGTTTTCTGGGATTGTTTTTCTCTGAGGAGTTACACCTGGCTGTACAAGCCATCAGCCCGGATGAAGTGGTGTAAAGTCTACGACGAGCAGATGGACGACTTTGAGCATGCTCAGGCCAAGTTCCAAAGAATGACTGGGGCAGAAGCAAAAGCGTTGCCGCATTAGCAGAAGACGGGATGCCAGTGAGAACATTCCAGCCTTTGAGGCAGACCCGCGAGTCTTTCCAAGCAAAAGCTCACGCCATCTCTTGGATCGTCTGGAACTCAGGCAACATCTCGGCCTTTTGCCGTTGCCATATCAATGTTGCTAATCTTTGCATGCGTCTTCTTTGACCAATCCAGTGTATCTGGTGTGCCGTTCTGCTTCATCCCTTGCTTGTAAGAATGATTTGGTTTAGAGCTCTTCAAGCGTTTCGTGAAAGTGGTTGGCTGTTCCGAAGATCATTGCAAGGCTCATGCAACACTCATGACACAGTAGTGCAAGGCCCCTGTCCCAGGCTTGAAGAGACCGCACACTACTTTGCATGATTTGTTGCATCCCTCTCATGTACATCTTGGAAAGCTTACGATGCTAGACATCTCTGTCTGCGTGCGAGGTGTGGATTGTACAAGTCCGTGCGGCGCTCAGCTTCGTCACCCAAAAATCTTATTTGCATGGGCCATGGGGAGAGAAAGAGAGAAAGAGCGAGAGAGAGCTGGAGAATGGTGCAAGTCTTTCAGGGTACACACGACGGATGATGAAGTCCGCCAGTGGCTGGCACCCTACTTCCAGTTTTGGGTGTTTCCTCAAATTCTGGGAGATGTTGAGAGCTGAAGGCCGCCTCCCGAACGTCTTGTTTATCCTTCATCCGCTTCTTCGTGATGCTCTCTGCCTTGCAAGATGTCCATTTTCAGGTGTTCCTTCATGCGTCGCATCGATAATGTCCTCTGCAGCGGCCAAAGTGCCTTGCTGCGTGGTAGTCTGCGCACCAGCATCTGCTCAAAGTGGCCAGGCAGCGGCTCTTTGGCCATGCCACCAAGGTCCTTAGCCTTGCGCTGCCTAAGAAACAGAAGTCCCATCAACTGCTTGGCCGGACAGCTCTTGATAGCCCAAAGCATTGCGGGCCAGTACAGCTTGATATGTCGTTTTCCAATCCTTTCACGAGGCCTCTACGTTGGTGCAGATTCCCTTGGCTGGCACAGCGGAAGCCAAGGTGCATGCCTTTTTCTGGGTGTATCTGTACTATACAGGTAGGTGCCCGCACGACGTACGAAATACATGCCCTCTCATTTAGCGTTGGTGAATGTTAAATCGAGGTTGGTGAAGTTCTCGTGTAGAGCGTGCATGCCAACTCTGGAGATTGAGAACATTCTTATTTGGCATCGATGGCTGAATACAGCTTCTTGCATGTCTTGCAGGCACGCAATAAAGAGAAGTCAAAAGAACGTGTACGGAGATGGGCTTCTCTTGCACTGGAGCGGAGGAAGGGGAGGGGGAGGGTGAGGGGAAGAGACTGTGGCAGGACTGGAGAAGGGGATGCATCACGTAATCCAACTCATCTCCGCGACTCTTGTAGAGAGTAGAGTTTCAAGCAACAAGCATGACAATCAAAGCGTGACCTGTCGCAGATTTCCCAACTGGCAGAGCGAGTCTCTGTTTTGGTTGCTTCGCTGCAGCGCCGCTGCGACGAAGACAAGGAGGACGCAGTGAGTTGTTCTTGTTTTGGTTGCGCCTTGTTGGGCTTCTGTTGCGCGCTAGTGATGGGTGGACATCAGGGGTCATGCCGCGTGAGGTCACCACGCCAGTGAGAGCGTGGTGCAACTGGCTTTAGTACAGGAGTTGGAACAGCACATGGACAAGATGGATGCTCGGTTGGCGTCTCCCTCAATGCCAGTGCTCTTGAACAATTTTTCATGTTGTGGAAAGAGTACTGAATGATGAGGAAGCTCGACTCAGCTCCATGGAGGCCAGGGTTCTGAGCTCTGAGGACGGGCTTGCAGAAAACTGTGGCCATTGGGTTGCGCTTGCATTCACTTGCTGAGCCCTGAGTTCTTGAAGGATGGCAGCCGTGGTCAAATGGATTCTGCACTTTTGCTCCGAGAGGCCAAACAAGTGACGGCCAATGGTCAGTGTGATGTTCACACAGTCCTGTGCGGCAACTCTGCAGCAGTTGTGCATCAAGTCCTCTTTTGCAGCCAGGCACGCGGTCTCATCGGCACCGCACTTAGTGAGGCCTGGATCCATGCACCCTGAGCTATTTTAGTATGCACTAAGAACGTACTGGGCTGGGCCATGGCAAGCAGAACGGGAGTACAGTAGGCCAAAAAAGCTGCGAGTACTCAGTGCACCAGGCACAGTCTGTCTTTCGCGCTGAGCTTGCGGAGCTTCGCGCTGAGCAGCACGAGAGCCTCAGGCAGCTCGAGGCCTGCAGCTTGCACGGGGTTTGTACAGATTCGATAACTGTAGAGATCTTTGAAGTCACTGAGTCGTTGTGAGGAGTTGGCCGGCTCGTCGCACCAAAGTGTGCTACGAGTGGAGAAGGCTTGGTACGAAGCCCGCTGGCTTTGGGTTTTAGATGACACGGCATGCACGCACAGCTGGAGCGAGCTGCTCTGGCCCAGGAGTCGGGGCCTCGGCGTGGTGGTGAGCATTTGCGGAGTTGAGAATTGGTGAGTCGAGACGTTGAACAGATGCATTGTCCAAAATGTCGTTTCACAGTGAATGTGCAGTCCAATGTCACGAGAGCTCTTTGTTCAGAAGAGGTCAGAACAGTCAGGCAAAGCGTTTCCCGCTGCCTTTTTGTTTGAAGTCCAGACTCTCAGCACAGACGGTACTGAAACCCAGGAGGTGCCTGCGCCGAATGGAAGAGACGGTGGAGGCCGCAGCCCATGCCATCTACTCGTAACAGGGCATAATGAGGTAGTGAATCTAAACAAGCGTAACAGGGCGGACTGCTTGTTGCGTGGGTTTGTGATTTATGCATCCTTTCTCAATTGGAGCACATCATGCTGGTGAAAGGCTTTTGCTTCACAGAATGTGGGGATGGAGAACCCGCCCTGGTTCAGTCAGCTGGAAGGCGCTGGAGTGCTCAGGGAGTTCTCTGGGGGCTATTCAGTACGGTCCACGACATCTGCACAGGGGCACTTCTATCTCTTGAGCAGCGGCTAAGCGAACAGCAGATGACCATCGAGGTGCTGCAACTTGTGTGTGTGTGTGTGAACCACCT